AACTTGAGTAATTTTGGTCCGATTTTGATGAAATTTGGTTTAAAGGTGTAAAGCGAGATAAACTTGAATGAGTTCGCGAACCAGCATGATCGGACCATGGGAACGGGGCTTTAGGGGGGGTTTTATGGGGTAAAAATTGGTTTTTCTCACTTTTGACCCTCAAAACACAAAATTTCCCAATTTCTTTTTAGACCTTTTTAAAGACCTTAAAAAAACAAATAATTTAGTATATAAAAGTATTTTTGTTCGATTATTAGTAACGGAGAAAATTAAAAAAATTGTAAATTTAAAATTCCCATGTTATTCTTATGGAGAATATTGTCAAATGTTGTAATTTGCTTGTTTATGGATATATTTTGATCAAACTTGGCAAATTTATTTATTTTGTACTAAGCTATCAATATTTTACTCAAAAACACACTTTATTAGGTTTCTTGTAGCAGCAAACCTAGGTACTCGTCAAACCTAATGTTATTAAAATATATTTAATTGAAAATCAATTCAGACAAATGGAAATTCGCTTAGTCGGCAGGTTTGCTGCGGCGGGGGTATTTTTGACCACTTTAAAGGTTTCTCTTTGACCTAAAAATAGCTGGGTTTATTCATACTTGAATACTGTACCTACACCATAAAGAAGAAGTAAATATTTAAGGGTTACATTCCATTTATATAAAACACTAAAATATAAGCTGTTAGAATATTATTTGTTAGGAAATCTTATTTCACATAATAGTTAAAATATAATTTTTCAAGTTATACATGTAATTAACCTTGTGCGAAATAATTGGCGACCTCGTTCAATTTTCTCATGAAGTAAACACAACAATTACTGTAAATTCCAAAGGCATTTCAAGCAGTGTATTCAAATATGTCCAGTAATATGGTACAAAACAATGAAAAGTCAACATAGGCCTACCACTTAAACACTATGTGCCTATCTGTTTAAGCTTACCTATAGATCAAGGGGATTCTGATCTCCTTTTGTAGAATTATTTTGTAGTGTTTCTGGTGGACATTAAAAACAAATAATTTTGTTGTGTTCTTATAACTTGCACCTCACAGCATAGGCCTAATAGGATTTTCATTGTTGTATAATTTGGTCAATAGTATCGTAGATAAAACCTTAGTTGATTTCTCATTCTAATGGATCAGCTGAAGGTAATTTTATTGTTACAGTAGTTCCGTCTGGTGCCCTGTAGGGATCGTGTTTGGTTTACAATTAGTTTCTTGTTATTTCAGTCATTTAAAACCAGGTTTAACCAAATATAACGATTTTACCTTAAACAATAACTCTTTCTTAACTTATAAACCAAACAAGTACAGCACAAATTATGAAATTAACACTGAAATAATAGTACCATAATTTCGCCGACACTAGGGATCAGTGTCACCAACATGAAATAGACACGAAAAACGTGCTTCAACATTTACAATGGGATAAGATAGTATTAACCCCGTGGTGTTTTTTTTTTTTTGCTCTGTACAAAACTATTATGGCGGCAAGGAAATTGAAGACCCATGTTAACAACGTGGATATACAAGTTATGACCCTGCCTGTTATACTGGCCTAGAACTAATTTTTGAAGCATAACTTTTATTAAACAGTAAGTGGTGTTTCTTGGTGCTAATTACGAGATCAAAGTAACAATTATTAAAAAAACACTTAACTCACATTTTACATAGCCATAATAATGTTACTAATCATAACATGCAAATTGTTTTTTTCAGAAAACCCTCTAATTTAGTATAGATCCCTTTGCTTTAAAACGATACTTGTCAATGATCTGCAACTTAACAACAGCATTTTATAAAATACAACCGCTTGCATGAAGTACAATGTGAAAAAAATCAATTGCAAAATATCTTCTTTTAATGAGGATGTAAAGACTAATACTAATAGAACTGTAGTTTGAATACCATGAATTGACTGATTTTAGTGACTTCAATTACATACAGTCAAGTGCTTCTGTATTCGTGGTGAGGCTCGGATTACAATATTCGTTATATTGAAGAACCTCTCGTTATTAAATAACCTCACTCATCTCACCCGGCTGAGTTCAAATTCAGTTCGATTACATAAGCAATTTTAATTGGCTGATATTTTATACAAGTGTACACGATATGATTACAGATAGGTCGTTGTCCCCGTGCTTTGCAACGGGGAAGATAACTTCAAATCAAAGACAAAATTCGAAACTGTAATCGTACCGCATAGTTTGTTAAATCCTATTTCTTTTGATTAAGGTAAGTAGTGGACACTTGTAAGGCGATCTAGGAAGATGTTTAAGTGGCGCCAATGCTCGTTGAAAAGTATTGTACTAAATATAAGATTTTTTAGTTTACAAAAAAAAACATCGACATATTACATTCAAAGTGAATCGGTGTAAAAGAGAATCTAACAACATTTAGGTGAGAAAGTAAAACAATCGGATTAATACTGATGTAGCATAAAATACTGTAGATATGTTAACCCAAATTCCTTGACATCTCAATATAATATGAGGGGCTTCGTATTCGGACCTCTCAATGTATGGCTAGGATAATCTTAAGATATTTTTCCTGTGCTTATTTTGATTTACTAATGTATTAGGGTCCACTAGGATAATTCAAAAGTTTAATTATTAGATTAATATGGTTACGGTTCAAAACACAACCTCTAAATCGAATTAAACTTTTAAAATAATAGTGTTTGTGATGTCATGTAATCTTATTGCGGATATCTAACTTCAAAACAAAGAAAACCCGTTCTACCGTTGATAAAAAAAAACATAAGCCTATGAGAAGGTCAACTATGACTGGTCACAACAAATCCTGATAACCTGTAGCTTTTATTGTCATATAAAGTCATTTTTTACTATCATAATACGTTTTAAAGTACTGGATTATAAAATTATGGTAATTAACAAATTTTGTTATTCGAAGAATTGTAAATTTCATGACAATCAATTGCAATTGCTTTAACAAAAATACACTTTTTCAGTATTACACTTCAATTGTGTTTAATACTATGCTACATCGCCTTGTACCTATAGTCCAGTGGCATATTTACCAATGATAAACAAGTTTTAAATCGCAATCAGCTGACATTAACAATCGGTTTCTCATTAATGGTACAACAAACAGACGCCAGTTTAAACTATGCTTACTGTTAATCGGCTTGTAAATCAGTTTTAGTTGGCCTTATTTCGCTGCAACACATTACAAAATAGAACCACGTTGAGGCCACCATGTACATTTCTAAATGACATATTTATTAAATGCATTCTGGTAAATCGGTTACACTCTGTGGCCCGCTGAGATTTAAACCCTCTTAGTATTTTGTTTCAGAGTCGATTATACGGTAAAGAAATACTTCAAATAAAGAAAATACTCAACTTATGCACAATCTTTGATTCACTTCTTCGGGTCAAATCAAGGTGGGACTTTAGAAAATATGGAACGTTAATTTAAGGTATATATGATGATGTTTAAGTACATAAATATGATAGTCTAGTTTTGACAGATTTTAATTAGACAGTCAGGGCATATCCAGCAAAGCAGTTACCGTAAAATCACCTTCAATTATAAAAATTCCTGGGTTAATAGCGAGAAAGATCAATTAATTTCTATTTTTGTTAATAGTTATGATGTTGTGAGTACAGAGGTGGTAGCTGTTCACTTAAAAAGCATGCAAATGGCTGGATACGCCTCAAAATAATCGCTCGTGTGCGCCTAGCCTAAAGCAATTTTATAAACTTGCACTTGCACCAAACCTGTAAAACTTATTAAAATCCATTGCGGGGGATCGGGTGTGGATAGGGAGTACTGGATGTCAAGGTCAGATCCAAACATGGACATCCAGAAATGTTTTTATCAATAACATTGTGTGTTATTAATACAAATGTTTCTTACCAATACGTTTGTTTTCAATAACAAAGATTAACAGTGATTATTATGATTAACAATACACATTTAGCCATGTGATTTCGGCTTAATGCAGTTAAGAGCCAATCATAGTTAAGGTTCAGCCGATAAATATCTTGAGTGCCCCTTGCCCACAAGACATTTTTGGTCATCCGACACAGTGTACAATTATTGGATAGAGCACTCGCCCACACTCAAACAGTCAAACGACAACGACAAACTGTCGTGCACTGCCACTATTTGATCCACGACTGTCGCCGGCCCACACAACGATTATTTCGTCCGTTCTCCCCATCGATACATACACACAATCGTGTGTTTATACAAAAAATTGTGTTTATTTATCGATGATTCTCCCCAGTAGTCCTAGTATAGTTCTCGCTGCGCACTTCGCATATCGATTGTATATATTTTTCGGAGTGAATAGTGCCCATAGTGAGTTTATAATAGGTTACGCAGACTTGTTAGTTGTTTTATTGGATTAAAGAAATCAAATCAAACATCCACTGTATATTTATAAAAACTAGTTTTCAGTAAAAAATAATAGGCCTAATAATAAAACCAAGGTTATGAAACAGGAACTTAAAACAAAAACTTAATTACGGTAAAGGTACTTAATTTTTCAAATCCTCATACATAGGCTACTGGTTCGTGAGTTTCACTGAAAATTCATGTTATATATTTTTTTATGTTGCACATAACTGATGAAATGGAAAGATAGTTTAGAAAATGTATATCGTAGCCAAAATTGATCTTAAATACATAACAGCAAATCTCCCTCCCTTTGTAAATGTCATGCCTTCGTAAGAACATATGACAATTTCTAGATCACGTAAAGTAAGTACAAAGTACCAGAAAATAAATCTTTGTACAAACTGTACAAGGCAAATCGTTTTAAAATAACACAAATAGTCTCATCATCCATGTATATCAACTTCAATAACGTCATTGGTCGTGTATAATCTGTTAGGTCAGGTCATAATAAATGGCGTGACAGAAATTTGTGTTGTTTATATACCGGAAGTAAACATCAATGTAGATCAAGTAGGCCTCTATAGGGACATCCGCTTCGCCAATAGGTCGTGTGAGGGGCTCGCACTACGTCATTGATGCGGTGAAAATGCATTGGTCGACAGCGTAGCAGCTAATTTTGTTTCTGTGTTATCTGGAGCTTGTTGTGCCTAAGGATCAAGATTTTGGGAAACGTGTGTATGTATTGTGTACAACTCAAGTATAGAGGTGCGTAGCCTACATACCTAATGTAAGGGGATAAGATGTTATCTCGTTTTGTACTTTGTTTATATTATAATTTATTTGGATAGGTTTATAGCGCAAAAATTACATTATTATTTTACTTTAACTTGTTATTGCAAACAATGCCTTTAGTTCTGTTATGGTTTGGCTAACACAGTTATACCGTATTCCAGAAGTTCTCTAAAACTGCTTTCTTACCGGCAATTCTGATCTGTGTTGTCGGTATGTGTTTATAATTTGAAAATTTAAACCAATAAAATGGTGCTACACTCTGTTGTTAAACATTGTAACTTTATATGCTATATGGTTGGACCAGCTGTCAAGATTATTTGATTTAGTTTAAATATGAATACCATAAGGTAATCATGGGGAAATTCATAGAGCCTCAATAGGATTTAGATAAAAATAGGCCTATGTTATCGTCATGATAAATTTCAGCTTCAGCCCAAGCCGACCAGTTAGTTGTCAATGCGTGATTGAGCCCCCAACAAACAAACACAAACTTTCAGCCTTATAATATTATTAAACAGGGGGTTTTTTAAACACACCCCAAAGTATTTTATCACTTTAAATTTAAGTATTGCCTTAACGAGAAAACACGCTCATGTTTTGGTGTCCCTATTTCATTGCCAATTAAGCTGGTAGACGATGCGTTGTTGCATGGTTTTTCCAACGTATGAGGAGTGTTACTAGGATTTTTTTGTAATAAAACTCAACCCCAATTAGCATTTCAACTATATCAAAACAATTTCAAAACAGATTTAAACTTGTTTTGAAATGTAATCAATAAAAAAAGTCATGTTGGGAATTTTTCCAGTACCTATCAATACAAGTTTGAAATTGTTTTAAAACAATATAAAAACTAAATTTGTTTCAAAACAATTTGTAGTTTCTTTTAAAACAATTTGTAGCTTTGTTTCAAAACACTGAATTTTAACATTGAATTAAATTAACTTTCATTCAAAATAAAATTAAAAATTAAAATAATGCATAATAAAATTAATAGGTACTATAACGGCCGGGATTTGAACCAGGGATTCCAGTGTAGAAGCCTTACCTCGGCTGTTACATGTCAGGCAGTGTATCCATAGATTAAAGATACTCGTGTAAGGAAAGCCATTTTGAATATGAGAAGCTGTATTAGGCCTCATAATTTAACTTAAACAAGATTTCTCTCTGACATTGTGTCATTTCAAGAATATTATTTAATAAAGCCCAATTACGTGACATTGATATTTGCGGGTGTTTGATAGCAAAAGGTACAATTAATTAATGATGATTAGGATAATAATACCCTCATTTACTAAACTTGGTACCATTTGAAAATTAGGCGTCACTTTTAACATGTTGTTATATAAAAACAAAATTGTTGTTTAAAATTATACAATAGTTGTATGTATTGTAAATATCGGGTTGTTTTGTCGGGATACTCGATTAAAAATAACATACATTTTTTGCTTTGATAGAAGAATTTGGTATTTACTCAGGGGAGGTATAGAAGAGGCTACGATGACAGCTGTGGGCTTCTTATTAGCTGAGGGAACGCCATTACCGTAACAAAACGATCAGTAGTCATCGGCCTCGGTAGTCTAATGGTTTGCGTGCCGGGCTGATAAGCTGAAAGTCCCGGGTTCAAATCCCGCTCGTGGCATTAACTTTTTGTCCAAGATTTTTTTATTATCAGCAAATTTGGTTGGTTTGGTTCGGTTATGACAGTTTAATTTTATTATTAAGTCATTATAAAATTTTAGTAGAGCAATTTCTAGTTTTATTTAATAAACAGAATTATTTTTTCTATTAATAAACTTTTGTTATATTATTTCATTATCAGCAAGTTTGGTTAGTTCGGTTAGGTTATGATAGTTTAATTTTATAATTAAAAAATAATAAAATTTAATTTGAGGCATTTATAATTTTATTTTATGAACAGAACTATTTTTGCGATTAGTAAACCTTCATTGCCAAAGTACGCTCTACTACAGCGCTGTTCACGGAGGAATTTTGAACTAATGCCTCATTCGTACCTCCCCTAAGTCAGACCCGAAGAATTTAAGGTTGAGTAAAACTCTAAATAAAAATTGAATGGCTCCGCCGTACAACGTTGTAACTGACAATATTTTCAAAACTGGCTTAACTGCAGAACAACGTTGTATTCGTTAGTCTGTGCCGTGTGGTAAATCTATTTCTCGCTAAAACTGATGTTGGCAGCCCTGCACAGCTGATCAAAGTGGCGGGAATCGGGCCTCAAGCGCCAGCACAACGTTGTAACCTGCAAACATGTCTGCCGGCGGAAGCCTTGTTCTGTCACCGGGGGACCAAAAACGGCTTAATAATGGAAAAAAAGGAAGATTCGACCACAGGAGTGGAAGGATAAGCACCGCAAGGCATGTAGGGATAGTGGAAATCCCTATATTTCGAAGAGGAAGAAGCCAGTGCCTGGAAAATTGCCACCACAAACGGTAAGCAGAACAACGTTGTATCTAAAACCACGGAAAAACGCTGTATCTACGCCCATTAAACATTGCAACCGACATAGTTTATACTATACCTAAGTTGGGGGTTTCTGGTAATACACATATCAGTACAGTAACTCTAAATCCATTTATAAGCTTTCCCACCGTTAGGTTGTGATGTAAGACTATTTTTTTTTTTTACAAATTAAAAGGGTAATGTAGCCTATGTAACCAAACACCCGTAAAGCCCAAAACCGAAATTAAATCAGGGATATATAACCAAAAAGATCCCTTGGTTTAGTTTTATCTTTTTTGATTTATATAATTTTTCATGTCGAATAAAAAATGTCATTCACTCAAATCGTTTGTGTAGTTCTAAAAGTTAAACAAAATGAACATGTTTAAACGTAAAAAGTGAAAGTAAAAATTTAAAGTAAAATTAAAATTAAAGTAATTACAGTAACTTAAAGTAAAATTAAAATGTGCACTAAAACCTTTTAAGACTGAAAAATTATCACAATTTCAATTTTTACAGATCGTCCAGTGTCATTGCAAGTTCCATTGTAAGCAACTTTCTCATGAAGAAATACTACGCCACTTCAAAGATTTTTATGGATTGGACTACAATAAGCAAACTGCCTTCCTCGCCAATGCTTGCATCAAGGTAGTAGACATCCATCGCCCTACGGTGAGTGTGGATATTTCTAGGAGACACTGTACAGTGGAATACTATATTCCAAGAACAGACACTAACGTTCGTGTTTGTCAGAAAGGAATTTGTCATATTTTTCAAATTACTCCTCGTAGAATCCAGATGCTTGTTGAAAAAATCAAATTTAATAAGCCCTTGAATGACTGTCGTGGGGCCCATGGTAAACATGAGAAGGTCCCTGAAGAAATCAGAGATTTAATTAGACATCATATCCGTTCATTTCCTAGTCAGGAAAATCATTATTCACGCAGGGACAGCCAGTCCAAGTGTTTAGATCCCAATTTGAGCATTTCAAAAATGTATGAACTTTTTCGAACTGCACACCCGGAAGCCAATGTAAAACTCCACCTGTACCGAGATATTTTTAATGCTGATTTTAACTTAAGATTTGGTTTGCCCAGGTCCGATACATGTGCCACATGTGACCGCTTCTTTATTAAGTTAATTGATTGTAAAACCGAAGATGAAAGAAAAATAATAGAGACCGAAAGTAAGCTACATCATTTTAAAGCAGATGCGGCCTATAAAGCCCTGGAGCGTGACAAATTAGATGCAGAGGTAAACTCAAATGATTTAGTACTCTGTGTAGATCTCGAACAGGTATTATTTTGCCCCAATCTCACACATAACAATGTGTTTTACCAACGCCAGCTTTCATGCTATAATCTAGCTATACATAACATGGGAAACAATGAAGCATATATGTTTTTCTGGAACGAGACGGTAGGCAAACGTGGATCAGCGGAAATTGCATCATGTCTCTTAAAGTATGTTGAGCTTCATGTTCCGAAAATGACACCAGGTCAAACCCGCACACTAAAGCTTTGGTCAGATCGTTGCATTGGCCAAAATAATAACTGGAGAATGATAAGTGTGCTGCAGCATCTCGTAGTAAATGGATACTTCACAGTAGTAGAACAAAAGTTTATGACTACGGGGCACAGCTTTTTGCCATGCGATAGGGATTTTGCCCTCATTGAAAAGGCAAAAAAAGGCAAAAGAGTGTATGTACCTTTTCACTGGGTCGAGGTAATAGCAAACGCAAACTCAAAGCATCCTTTCAAAGTTTCTGTTATGAAAACTGAGGATTTTAGAAACACTGATATTGCGACAAAAAGTTTGTCAACTAAAAATTTTAACATCACAAACAATGTTTGGTATCAAATAACTGCAGACGATCCAACTACTCTGAGAGGCAGAACATCCCACAATGTCCTTCAGCCGTGGAACAGCCACATTTTGGCTAAGGTTATCAAGGAACCAAAAGACACTGCATCTACATCTGCAACGAAGAATTGTGATGCATCTACATCTACAAAGAAGATTTCAAAGAAGAGATCCAAGAAGGAAACGAGAATATATCCCCCTGTAAGAATAGAGAACTTCCCGCGGTTGTATGAAGGACCATTGCCGATAAAGGCTGACAAGAAAAAGGACCTATTGGATATGTGTCAATACATACCTCAAGAGTATGTACCGTTTTATGAAAATATTAAAGTTGAAAACGAACAAAATACCTAAGTATTTCAAAAGTGTTTTTAGCCAGGGCCTATATCTGCACTTTTAGAATACTTTACCTAAACTTTGGCTTTCTATTACCAGGATTTTTATATAGATTACATTGTAATATTATTACAATATTTTATAACTTTATGTATCTTTTATATTGTTGATAATATCTTTTATATCTTAGAACCAACAATTCACCTTTTTTACAATATGTATCCTGTAAAAATATATTTTTAAGAAACTACGATGTTGTGTTTTTCTTCAGCCTGTTTATGTTTAATATAAATTGTCCGTAGAACAACGTTGTAACTGACGTCTGTTACTACGGAGTCCGTAGAACAACGTTGTAACTAACGTCAGTTACTACGTTGTTCCGTGTGATTTTGAGGTTAAAAAGGTCATTACTCTTTTGTGAAGTGCCCAAACAAGGTTATGTACATAAATATATATTAATCAGGTACAAAACCTAGATTAGTCTAAATAGAAATATTAAAAAGCCCATAAATATATCATACAAAAAGTTTTTTTTGTTCCTGTAAAATTTCGATTTTGTAAGTTACAACGTTGTACGGCGGAGCCATTCAATTAAGGAATAACATTTTTATTAACTACACCATTTTTTGAACTAATTATGTTTAGTGTGTATATATATATTTATTTATATATAGTTTTTGCCTTATTTTTTATTTAACACACAAATTAATGAAATAATATTTATCGTAATATAATTATAAAACAGTGAACATTTTCAACCATTTTTCACTATAAGAGGTATAATGCCACTTTTATAAGTTAGGAATTACATTACATCCTAATTTGTTTTCAGTTGCACTGATTTTTACTTTCTATATTAAAATGTTTTCCATTGCAATAATTGTTTGTCACTTTGAATTCAATTGCATTCTCATTCACAAATAATTTTGAAAAAATAAATTAATTTAAACAAATAAAAATCAGAAGTGTTACAGTTAATGGTGTGGGCTATTATTTCAAGGTTAGGTCTCAGATCTGGATGCCAGATCTGGAATGAGTCCAGATCTGGCATCTTAGATTGGAAAACTTGTTAACCAATTTTTGACTTACTGTATTTATTTGTAAACTGTAAAAATGGTTTCAAACTTATCAAAACAATTTTAATATTAGTTTTGTGACTGGTTTTAAAATTGTTTTAAACTTGTACCTATCAAAATTGTTTAAAACTTGTTACAAAACAGTATTAATACAACATTCTACCAACAGTATCAATACAGTTTTAAACTTGTATACAGCTTGTATAAAAATAGTTTTAATACCATAATTGCTTTAATACCAGTTCAAACAGTTTTCATGCTACTTGGAATATGGTTTTCGCAAGCTCATAAGGGTATAACACAGTGGAGCAGGGCAGGTAGCTGGTAGCCTGGCTGGTCGCTTACTAGCTTACTGCGATCTAGAATTTAAAGCACGCGTTGTTATGGGTACGCACACAGTCGCGCCTAGCAGGTAGCCGACTGACATGGTAGCAGTAAGCTAGGCGGCAAGCTAGAAGAATTGCCCAGTCGATTGTTTGGGGGCTGCAAGAGGGGAAGGCTCGAAAGGGGCATGTGCAAATAGCAGAACTTGACAGCCAAGTGTTCTCGAGTTTGCAAGTTCAACGCGGAATCTTTCACTGCGCATTCTTTGTATACGGAGTGTTGTTTATTTTAGTTGATTTATTTGGTTGTTGTTTTGTTTACATGAAATACAATAATGGTCGTAGACAAATTAATATATAGGTTTTTATCTGTGTACCTTTGTGGAACCAAGCCCATCCGGACTACCACAAACGTCACGTAACTCAACGATCTGTAGAATGAAATAGCAAATGAACTAGGATTCAAACATAAGTTTATCCTATCTTGCTAATATTATAAGTGACAATATTAGTATCGGCGGCTGGCAAGCGACTGTACTGAGCGCCACTGTGTGTATGTCCCAGCTACCCTCCAGGTAACCAGCCGTTAATGCGGGGACCAGCGTATATGCAAGTATGCGACCTGCCCGGCTCCACTGTGTTTTTACCCTAAAGTGTATGTGTACAAAGGATTATTGCGGACATTTTCCATCACGATTGTAAAAAAATACACAACGTTTTGGGATCTGGAATCTGATCCCGTCTTAGGTCACATAAAACGTCACCTGAACCAGATCCCGAAACGTTGTACGTGTATTGTTTTTTACAATCGTGATGGAAAATGTCCGCAATAAACCTTTGAACAACATTAACTCACCATCACCAACAATGAACTTCAAACAAAGAAGAGTATGTGTAGGTCTACGTTTTCTCCCAAAATCCAATTTCCTTAAGTTTTTGACAAATAAAATTATTAAGTGCCGAATCACACAAGTAAACTCAATTTCTAATCGTTCTTAGAAGAAAATCAATTATTTTTACTTTCAATGTAGCCTACTGTATTCGTCTAAAATAGCCACATACATACAAGGCCTATATACAGCACGCTTTGAGCTTGAGAAAACAAAAAAGTTGAGCCTTATTCAAAATAAATTCCCAATTTCACTAAACCTTATAGATAACTAACACTATTCAACTAATGCATATGAGCTGATTGGAAATGAAGTAAAGAACACAGGGATGCCAGACACAGCATGTTCTGCCGTCATAAAATGTCTCACGGCTCACGGCAACTCGGTTCGGTAAGTTACTTTTGTAGAGCTTTGGGTCACGTAAAAAAACCCTGTAATGATGTATTATGTATGTATGTATGTATGTATCATAGCATGTATTATGTGCTAGTTTGGAATTTTGTGAGTACCAATGTCTAATTGCGATTCTCTTAAAACCGAATACAAAACAATTTCATTTAGTTGACACCAGCCACGGCCACCGCCTTTAACTACAGGCCGCAGCCTGGTAGAATTGGCAACGTCGCAAGTGGTGTTGTTTAGTGACAGACGTCCTACAAGATAACATGGCAGACAGGTAACATCAGCTCATTAATTCGCACTTTATTGATTTAAATTTATGAACATAAATTTATTAAAATATGAAAATAAAACGTACCTTAGAATTGAAAACCGAGAAATATAAATTACAAATCTATATCTGTAAATTTTTAAGCGGAGTCAATATTGTTATAGACCAGTAACCAATCTTTCGTAAATGCACAAATACCGTTCAAAACAGCTGTTACGACACCACTTGCGACGTTGCCACTTCGAAGGCTGCGGCCAGGAGTTAAAGGCGGCCGTGCATCAGCACATGTGTCCACTGGGCAAAATTCAAAACATTTAGGATGAGGAGTTTATTGTAGTATTCAAAGTCAATGCTGTGTAACATGTGAACATAACCAAACAGAAAACACAATTTAAAATTGTAATAGTCAAAGGTTTTCGGTCGGTGTAGATATAAAGTCAATGGTTTTAGCTACTCTGTTTTTCCTGACAACTGTCCTAACACCTGTTGATTTATATGGCCGTGCCGGGCATATTGACGTCAGCTGATCGTGCATGTTTGTTTAATTTTCAGGTTTGTTTGTAAACATAGTACATAACCTAACCTCTAAACCTCAATCAATCCAAAATCCAATGACAAAGCAGGACGGCTGGTGCTGTAAAAGCATAAAAAAATGATTTAAAGACATTATAGGCTTTTATATTACATCTTAGACTACATTTACGATTTAACACCCCGCTAAGAACAATCCACAATGTTTGTATCAGGAAGGTTATGTAATTTTGGTTGCAGGTTTAATTTGGGATCTCTTTTAAAAAACATGGGTAGTATTGAGCACATCAAAAGCACAGTACAGTTCGCAACCATCATGTATAAGACATTGGAAACCGACCACCTGAAGGAAAATGTAAGTAGGTAAGATAGATTGTAGTACCTGGTACAGTACCTGTTTAAGCTATATTCATAAGCTCATAGAAGATTATACACTAAATGATACGTAATAAAGCCATTAAAAGGTATACGGTAGGCTAGGGTACAGTTTCTTAACTGGGCTATGCTAATATTGATTGAAACTATCGATTCGATTAGTAAACCTTCATGCGATTTTTTCACCATCAGCAAGTTTGGTTGGTTAGGTTAGGTTATGATAGTTTTATTTTATAATAGATATATTTAAAAATAACAATTATTGATCAATATTTTCAATTCGATAGTTTCAATCAATATTAGCATAGCCCAGTTAAGAAACTGTACCCGCCCGTAGGCGGGTACAGTTTCTTAACTGGGCTATGCTAATATTGATTGAAACTATCGATTCGATTAGTAAACCTTCATGCGATTTTTCACCATCAGCAAGTTTGGTTGGTTAGGTTAGGTTATGATAGTTTTATTTTAAAATAGATATATTTAAAAATAACAATTATTGATCAATATTTTCAATTCGATAGTTTCAATCAATATTAGCATAGCCCAGTTAAGAAACTGTACCCGTAGGCGGGTACAGTTTATTTTAAAATAGCCTCTTCCATTCAACCTCTTAACAAGTAGGCTAATAGCTATAGGCACTTCTTACTGTGAATATGCCTAGGCCTACCTAACCAATTATTATTGATCATTGGGCTTTAAATAAAGGATACTGACTGATGAAATAGCCAACGTAATTGTAGTGAGTATCAAAGCTAACTTACAAGATCATCTCACAACATTCTACAACCACCCTTCAATCATATCAAGTTATCTTATATTTACCTAGCTCACCCAATGCATATTTGGGTTAAAATACACACCAAGGTTGTGTACCAATCTCAAATAGGCTAATTGATAATTAAGTTAATTGATAACTGTTAGTTGAACATGGCTTATTTCGAAGGTAGACCTACTACGGTAACTTAAGTAAGTTTTTTACTGTAAAAACGACATATAGGCCTAGACTCAAACTTAAATTTAAGCAGAAAAAACATGTAGGCCTACAATTTAAGATAAGTTTGAGTCAGCGTAGGATAGACCTAAGCTTTCTAACCTAGGCCTAGGGCCTACATCAATTAACTTATGATTTAGGCTAACTAAACTTTCCAGAACATTAAGAGATTGGATATTATTTAAATGCACAAATAAGTTAAGGCTGATAAATTAAGTTTGCCTAGATAACATTCCCCCAAAAATATAAATACTAAACTTACAGTAACTACTTGCTAGTGTCATTATTGAGACCTACCCTAAACTGAAGTGGTACAGTAGAATAATAGCCTAAGTTATTGAGGCAATACATTTTCTAGGATGCATTAACCTTATTATTAAGAGCTAAATTTTAACTTGCCTAACAACAAATGACAACTCGGCGAGTTCATGAGGCGTTTACATCGAGCGGCTTTCTAATTACTGGTCTTATTGGACAGAGTTAGAATATTCTGAGAACTCCACCATTTGCAACTCACAAGTTATCAAAAGGATTGAGTTTTTTATATATAAAGAGGTTGACGGCCCCTTTTAACCTTGCATTTGCCCGTCCAAATAGACTACAGATCTTTGCGTGGAACGTATCCAACCAAGCAAGGGGTGAGCCCGTACAGTACAAAGTTGAACTGCGGCAGTGAACAGGATTCTAACCCAAGACATCGCTGCCTTGGCCCGAAGTCTGTGACGCCACCAACTGAGCCACCAACTCACCACAAAACCATATGGCATCGTTTCCTGTGCCATCAGTAAAATAAAAATAAAAAAATTAATGGAAAACTGAACCTATTTTTTATTTCATTTCACAGGTAAGGGTAGTGGATTTTAGAAGTGACACAGTGTCAAAGCCAACAGAAAGGATGCGACTAGCAATGTACGAGGCAGAAGTGGGAGACGATGTAATGGGAGAAGACCCAACTGTTAATGGTGAGTGCCAGAATTATGTTAAATGGAAACAGCATAATTTGGCGATTTTTCACGCAAATGGAATGTTTTCTCTGAGAATAGTCCTAAATCTGGTCTTGATACCTTCTGGGTTGACCTTTTGTTAGAAAACACCATTGACTCAATGACAACGATTGATACGTCTGGGTTCAGAATCTGTCCTGCACAGAATCAAACTTCTGATTTGAATCAATAGCAATACCACCCGACTAAGTTATTGTAGCCCCTATCCAACAAACTTAACTAGTGACCAATCAAATTTATTAAATCTAGGCCTATATACTTAATACAATAAAAGTTTTTTCTCTAACTTATAACATTCATATTTAGAACGTCCTACTTACCTAGCTGATTTTGATTGTAATTTTAAAGCTAACTTAAAACGTTATTTCATTTAGGGTTTCACCCTCTTAGGCCCCTTCCTATTTGGGGGACGGGAGCGACAAAATTTCCAACCAATGTATTAGCATGGGAATATCCTTATTTGATGGCAGAAGCGACACTTTGGCAGCATGCGTTGTGGGCAATGCGAGCATATTTTGAAATTTCAAACAATTTTGTATCTGGCCTTTATTGCCAACAGAAAGTGTTGCCGCAGGTTTTGATAGCAATGATCACGTAGAACACTCTTGGTACCTGCAGGGGGCACAACCGTTCTCAGCGCCAGTGGCAGTGAAGTGGCTGTTGACTGTTATATTCTTTTGTTCAGTGGCCTTTTGTCCCATCACCTGAATGTATTGTGTCTGAGAAAGAATTCATTGCTTAAGTGCAAAAATATCCTTCATTTTGGCACATGACCTACATAAAAAAATTTACATTATCATAACATTCATAACAAGCAAATGAATGGAAGATTATGGCCGAAGATCGCAGAAGAATGCAATGGAAATGGGAAGTACTTTTCCAGAGTCGCGTGGTTATATATTAAATAAATATAAGTTACTAAGTTATTTGGCTTTGCTGCCAAAAAAATAAATACCCCCGCCGCAGCAAACCTGCAGACTAAGCGAATTTCCATTTGCTTGATTGGATTTACACAAAAATGTCTCCTTAAAAATATCACATTTCCTTATGAGAACACACCTAACCTTATGAGAAATGGAATTATTGAATTTTAACAGCTGTTTCAATTAAACAAGTTGGTTCTGTTCTATGATGTTCAATAGCATTAAAGTTACAAGGATTACCAAACAGGGTGCAGCACTATTATTTCTTTTACATTTATGACATCAGCTAATTTGCAACCAAAAGGTGAGTGAGCGTAGCGAACGAACTTCAACCTGGAGGCGAGTTAGCATAGCAAACGAGCTAACCTGAAGGCAAGTGAGCGCAGCGAACGAGCTCCAACCTAAAGGTGAGTGAGCGTAGCGAACAAACTTCAACCAGGACGTGATTGAGCCATGCGAACGAGATAATCTTGAAAATGAAGAAGTTAAACGGGGCAAAGCCCGCGGGTTACAGCTAGTATATATATATCTATAGGCCTATATGAATTTGAACGGATGGTGTTTTTGGCCTCTAGGGACCTCAAAACGAAAAAGTAAATCGGTCCCGTGTCCAGGTCTTACCATGAGTACTACGGCAATTTAGCTTATTCGCATATGGGAAATTCGCTAAAACCCATTGAAATGGCGGTTTTATTCCATTAAGTTTAATTCATTACCACAAATTTTTTTATTGCAATTCCGATATTGTTAACAGTTTAACAGTAGTGAATAAATGTAATAACAATAAAAAAATCAGTAACTTAGTTGTGAGTTCTAGCGGAAAAGAACCAAAATGGCAAAGGGAATTCATGCTTGTGTGTTGCCTGCAACACCAATCCTCGTAGGACGTAGGAAGTGTAGAAAAGGCAGGTGGGATTGGAGAATGTAGGTTAATTTTTGATCACGCCAAAAATCTCCTTAGGTTTCAGTGGTCACATAGGTATGGCAAGAATAGTTTGCAATGGAAGATGGTTTGTGGCTACTTAAAATCCAGTGTGAAAATTGTCCCATACTTTCACTTAAAACGTTACCTACAGATTGACAAAGCTGCTGTTTTTTTTATTTAAATAATTTATTTTTATTTTTATAATATTCACAGAATATAATATTGAGCCTATATTTTTTGGAGAACGGGCCTGAAGCTAGAGAACAGCTGATCATTCAGCTGAATGTTTAACTACAGTCAAATAGTGGAAAAGAGACAAACAGTTTCACATATTCAATTCAGATTGTGATATTTTCATGTATTTCAGCGCTTGAAGAGTTAGGTGCAAAGATGTTGGGTAAGGAGGCTAGCATCTTTGTCACCAGTGGAACTATGGGAAATCTTATCGCAAGTAAGTTGGTACTCTATTATTGTTATCATCGATGATACATGTTATTTAAAGTTATAACTGGCACAAAATTTGATAGTTGGACTTTTATCAATGAAATATATTTATTTTGCAGCTTCTTGATCAGCATCATAGGCCCCTACCTGTATTAAATTACCGGAAAGTACAAAAATACGTAAAATAACTTTTGTAATAGGCAAATGGAATTTGCCCATTGGGTCTGATGATTGGAGTGTCCAATCAAAATCTATCACCAATCTTTTATATGTATTTACCGTTTTGAAATAGGCTATATTATTTACTAGTGTTATTTGAGACATTTTTGAAATTTCTGATTTATTATTGTCTCATTGAAAAACACACCCTGATGCATTGGTCGGATATAAGGATTGTCTGTAAATTAAGGTCTCCTATGACTATGATCTCCTGTCAAGGCCTAGCAAGCTATTTTGCTATTTGCAATCTTTTTTTAGACCACTGCCATGTTCTTTAACTTATATCTTTTACTATTCTAGCAGATATCCTCTACCTATTATTTATTTGACATTGTTAAAAAAAAAAAATTAAAAAAAATACTAGCATTGTGCTTTTACAAAGCAAATAAACCAGTTTTTGTTGCCTAACTATTGATATCAATGGTATAGCATATAATCTTTTTCCAATTTGCCTGTTTCTGTAATTTACGGTTTACGTATATTTGCAGCCATGGTCCATTGTGATCGTCGAGGCTGTGAGATCATCGTAGGAGACAAGAGCCACATGGTGTTGTGGGAACAGTCCGGCGCAGCTCAAGTAAGGTTGTAGGCCTATGTTTTATATATTTATCTTAGGAGTCAGTCCTTGGAGCTTAGATGCTATATAACTAAAAAATACAATTACATAAGTAGGAAGAACATTTCACAGTGCACTAGATATTTAAATTACAATCACTTTGGTATTTCAAAAAATCTGTTGAGATGGTAAATATCTTTTCAGCGGCTGTTTAAAATTAACAAAATTAACATTGCTCTTTTGGTGGGCAAATCCAAGATGGTGGTTAGCCTCTATGGACTCCCTTTGAAAAGAATTACATAACTACCAGGAAAATTTCTGATCTCACAATGCACTAGATGTTTAAATTACAATCACTTTTGTATTTGAAAAAAATATTTTTGGATGGTAAAAATACCCTTCAACAGCTGTTTGAAATAATCCAAGATGGCCACTATGCTCCAAGGACTCTTAAAAGTAGCTTTACTACTACCTTTTAAATTCTTGACTAAACTGTACAAGTTGTAAATTGGTAAAATATGGTAAAACTCATTATTCTTTTTAACCGACTTTCCCATACCAACAAAAGGAGGAGGTTCTCAATTTGTTTGTGGCGATGTTTTTTTTTTCTATGTATGTTCACCAATTTCTCTGTGATTCTTTTACCGATTAGTGTGGTTCCACCACCAAAATAACCAGGAGAGCTTCTATTTGGTACCTTATATATTATGTTTAAGTATAATATTTGTTTCGGTGAAAAATTCTGAAAACCTTAAATATTCAACATTCATTTTAGCAAATTTCCCATATGGAGGGAATAAGCTATTACCGTAGGTCTCATGGTAAGACCTGGACTCGGGACCGATTTACTTTTTCATTTTGATGTCCCCAGAGGCCAAAAACACCATCCGTTCAAATTCATATATATATATATATATATATACACGGCCGCGCCCGGGAAGCCAGTCACATAAAATATACACTGGAAGTCAGTCAGTTGCACCCCCCAATATATTTCAAGACTATGATATATATATAATATATGTTGGTAAATATCTTAAGCCTAGACATATCTGAACGTATATATCTCTTTTTTTCTCAAAAATACTAAAATATAATTACGTAAAAAATGCTATGCTAATGCAGTCACCACCGCATTTGCATGGGAAAGCCAGTCACATAAAATTTGTGCTGCTAAGCCAGTCACTATATATGTTACCGCATACCACTGGAATCCAGTCACTGAAAATCCACCCGGGTATCCCGTCACTTCAGTCACTTTCACCCCTGCCCTTCTACTTTGTGATATTTATTTGTTCTACAAGCTTGAAAATCCGCACCTCAAACAATAATGGATTATGCTTCAGGCATTGAGCACTCTCATAACCCATCTTTCGCACTTCATTTTAATTAGTTGTCTTCCAGATTACTTAACAATTACTATTCTACAGATTAAATACCTAAATGTCAATGTAATCTTTGGTCGTCTTAATAGTCGTCCTGGCAACTGTGGATACAAATATGTACCGTACTAATTCGCAAGCGTAAGGTGGGAAGTTATTGCTTTATAGTCGCACAATTAGGCCTATTGTTGAGTCCTTGGAGGCAAGCGGCCATCTTGGATGATTTCAAAAAGCTGCAAAATTTATCGTCAAAAAATATTTTTCAAACACCAAAGTGTATATAATTTAAATAGCTAGTATACTGTGGGATTAGAAATGTTCTTTGTAGTTTTGAATTATTCTCCAAGGGAGTCCATAAAATAAGTTAACGGTCACGGTCATCTTGGAAAAAGGCCAACTAATACGAAAACAATATCCTGTGTTGCGCGGGCCGTAGCACACAAATAGTTTTCCCGCCTCAAACAATCAAAGGCGTGTGGAACAAGGCAAAATTCTTGTCTCTTTTGTGGCGAGAGGTAGGGGCGAGCCTAACAGGTTCCATTGATGGGCTACCCGGCTACCGACCGACCTGGGGTAGCGACTAGCGAGCCAGTGGATGGTTAAAGGTTCTGCCGGTTATTTCCATCTTATTGCTGGTTCTCGAGCTTTTTGAGCTCGTTGTACAGTGAAATATTACTTCCCTATTTTATATAGCCACAATCAAAGCGATTTTTACAAGAAAGAATGAAGATATAGACTCAGTGATGTGTGGTTACTTAATTAAATCATGTTCCTTGATTGTTTACCCTTTTGTAAGAGCCAATAATCAATCAACTTATATTTCTTTATTTTTCGATTTATTATCTATATCAATTCAAGAGGTAGCCCTGTACCTGGTTAACAAATATACCGATTACATTTAACGTGTTTTCTTTGAGTTACGCCCCATGGGATTCCAAAGTTTCACAATGTTTACATTTTTGAAGAATGTAGATAACAGAATGTTTAACGAAGTCAGCTTTAAATGCTGTCAATAAAGTTCTTTGATTTTGCGGTCCAAAAGGTAGAAACCATTCGATTTGTGAAACTTTTAACTTTTGCTACGGGCCTGTTAATTGGAGATTGTGACTTTCTTAATTTAAGGAAGTAAACGTATTAACATGACGTGTTTGGAGTGGGATTTGAAATATGTGACGTGTATCAAACTTTTTCTCTTCAAAATCCTCTCCGATGTAAAACACAGGTACGGCAGCTAGGTTTATTAGAATTCAAAAGTTTTTTATTGTCCTCCAATGTTTAGAAATTATTTTTCGATCAAGTTGTTTAATGAATAAATAATTGTTTTGCCAACTTATGTTTCGAAAACAGGAACTAAAAATAGATCAGGAAATAGATATTTTAGTTCAGAAAACAAAGCCAATCAAATAGGCCTACGTACTTTTTAAATAAAAACACTGGTCAGATGGTTTTTAACTTTGCTGTTTATTTACTTCAATAAATTTCTAATAAAAATCGCCACAGGTACTAATCTATATAAATAAAATTAGAGTTTTGTCTGTACATTGCTCAGAATCATCAACTTTTAGATTATTTTTACGTTTTAAACATTCAAGAATCCGAAAAAAGTTTCATCTCAATTCCGTTATTATCTCAATAATCAATTATTATCTCAATTCCGTTGTTGTCTATCTTCCGTCTGTCAAGGTCCAAAGGCCATTTTACGCGGCCTTCTCCTGAAAACGAGAGTACCTATCAAGATCCTCGAATCATTTTAATGTATTCACTGGATTGGCGAAAGTGTCTTTAGCTATTAAAATATGGCCTCGCTACTTTGTAAAAAAAACTTACGGACGTTTAAAACCCAAATTTGTGCGATTTTTGTCAAGTTTTCTCACAATGTTTATCACATAATCATCATATGAAATATCGAACAGCTGTTCGGATCAAGATTATTTTTCTCTAGCTGTCACTGATATGTTTACATTGAATATTGTTTACAAATACCGCAATCATTTCAGATCAAGTTTCAAAAGCAAATCCGAACCAAGTTGGATTAAAACCGTTTTTCCTTACATAACGGATTTAATTAATCGCAAGTGCAATAATGTGTAGGGTAACCGTAAATGAAAATAGAGCTTCTTTGTGTATAGAATTTCTATCGAGTTTTGGGTTTATATCCGGGGAAAAGACTTTGACTCAGTGTTCTATATGCCTGGGAAACTTACATTTTTTACATAAGCGTTACCAATAGCTTACATATAAGGTTTCAACTCGTTGACGGCACTTCAATGGTGGTTGTGTAAAGTGTTTAGAGACAACTGCAGTGGGTGATTGTAACAGAGGTTTACGGATTATGCTCAAATCGTATTTCTAATGTGTCTTCTCAGCGCTATGTGCTGCTCGCTGGACCATACGTCCAACAGACCAATTATCCATCTCTTGGGTTCGTAGGCTTAAACAATTATTCATAAGTTGGTAGCGCATATAACTCAGTGTTCCGTACGGACAGGCCAAGAGCACCTTTGATAGTGAAATTTACAACCTGAATGTTTAATGGCGAGGTTGAGGTATAGTATTTTAACTATATATCGTTTGGTTAGTTAGGTAAGGTTAACCTAACCTAACTAACCAAACGATATATGGAATTAAACAATCGAATAATCAATATTACTAATTTAGTTGTTTGTGCCAACAGATATGGAAGTGTACCCCTCATAGATCTATTACGCATTTTTTTTTACTTGAAACTGTCAGATACTGTATTTGTTTGTATATAATAGTTTGGCTAGCATATCTGAAAATATGCAAACCAATAGTTTTTCTTTATTTAGGAAGGTTTCAACTGACCACTAGAGGATCCCCGTGCGTAGAACGGGCACACAGCTAGTAATTAATATTTAATTAATACATCTTATCTTACTAATATTATAAATGTGAAAGTTTGTGTGTTTGTTTGTTTGTTTGAAGTTCAATCACGCATTAACTACTGGCACAGAAGATATACTGTTTTTAATTTATAAATAATTTGTCATATTGTGCGAATCTTGGTGATTTGAATTTGGTGATTTTCTTTTTTCTGCTGTTTAGGTGCAGTGGTAGAACATTATTATGGATATGGTAGATGTTTTATACTATATTATACCGTCGTTGTCAATAATGTCGTCTGATTCTGACTGATGTCAGATGTTACACTGAATCGGTCACAGGGAGTTGTAACCTACCACTAGCTTACCTAACTAAGTTTGAGTGTTGCTATTTGCATTGTGGGATGATTGCACTGGACAGTTTAGCTATCTATTTCAGAAAAATAAAGTTTAAAATAAATCAAATTCTAGGATCTGTTCTTAAGTTGTGGCCGTTTTGAGATGGATGCTTTCAGAATTCAGTTTAGCCTAGCCTGAACAACTGGATTAGTAGCTTGACTTAGTGGTTCATCCATGTTTAGTTTATAAACACTAATCAATGCCTAATCTAGATTATAGGTGCCTTATTCTACTCTGTTTTAAAACTAATATACATAGGCATAAGCTTTAATTTTTGTATTAAATACTGGGTGCATCATTAAGGTAACTCCGTTAGGTTGCTTTTTATAAATAAATAATTTCATAAATCACTGATACCCTATATCATCTAAGTGTACTCAGTACATAATGACACTCT